CAAGCCACTTCAACTCCAGGCGGGTGTGTTCAACTAGTCCGATGTACCGTTCATATGCATGATACACTGTTGCTGTTAGTCTTGGTTGTGGTTTTCACTCCATGGGAGTCGGGTAATTCTCCACCAGCTCAATTCAGACCTTGGCAACAGAACTCTCTGTAATAGCCGACTAAGGGCACTGGACAGCTGGTTTTTCGCTATTTGCACTCATCACCAGTGCCAGTTCCGGCAAGGTCACAAACAGTATTCACTGCTGATGAGTCCCAATAAGGATGAAATAACCATCTAGTGCTCCCGTTCACTAGTCACAGGGACTTTTTGTTGCAATCTAACATCTTCAGTTTTCTGCTGTTCATATTCAACCAGTCCCAAATACATAAGTGTTTTTATGTACTCGTTCCACTTATTCCTGGCTTTGCTCAAAATCCCTTACTCCCGAATCAATCGATTGGTAATGACGCAACAACTGACCATACTCCATATCATAACCAATTGCTATCGAGGATCATCCAGCCCCAAGTCGGAGCGCACAAAGAATTCCATTCGGCATGTCATTGCTTTTCTTCTTCAACGACTGTCAGTCTAGCCTACAATCAAATGGAAACTTGTGGCTTGTCATATCTTGGGGTTTGATTTCATGTGAAACGTCATCCCGTAACTAATATGCCTCAGCGCACAGGACTTGATCTGAACCTCACCGGCAACCGATATCAAAGTTGGAGCGCAATTCTTGAGACAGTTGAGTGCGCACAATGAATCATTTTAGGGGCTACAAGTGCACAAAAGAAAAACCCACTCCAGTAACCACTGTTTATTTGTTTGTTGAAGAATGAAGTACCAAAGAAGTATGTATCGATCCTCAAGAAGTTGTATCGGTACACCTCAGATTGAGAAGGGGCCTATGGCTGGCTTTCGCCACCGTACGTCGTCTCCAGTGGAGTTCGACATGATTGACGTAGAGGATGTTCTACACAATGCTTTTTTTCGGTCTAACAAACGGCGAAGTCGAACTCCTCCCAGGGAACAGAGTTCTTGATTCAGGATATGCTGATGACGTCACTCTTCTGGGTGACAATACACAGTCCAAAACGCTTTAAACCGCTTGGCGATAGACGTCTCCAGGTATGCATGTTATCTGCTTTGCGCCGTCCAAATACAAAGTACTTGTTCAGGACTGGCAGGAAATTGTGCCCGCACTGACCGCTTCCGTGATCAGCTGGAAGTGGTTAAGAGCTTTAAGTACCTCGGAAGCTTGATAGCAGCTTAAGTTGGTGCTGGGTAGGAGATCTCATCACCAATAGTGAAAACTGGAGCAGCTTTTGTCAACCTGGGACGCCATTGGCACCGCCGTGATATCCGTTTATCCCGTAATGGAAAGGTGTAATCGACCACTGATGTCTCCGAGGCATTGCTTGTTTCTCATGGGAACATCGGGTGAGTAATGATGGGGTCCGTCGTCGTGTGTTGGGTGTGGATAGCCCTTCTCCAAAAGAAGTAATCACTTTACAGCGCCTCCCATGGCTTGGCCAAGTTTTGCGTTTACGTGCCCATCATTTACTCTTCCACGTTCATTTTGCACCTGTTGGTCAAGAGAGGAAGAAACGTCGAGGCATTCGGCGTATGAAATATTGTAGAGGTAGGAAGAAGCTAGATTCAGCTTTTGCTTCGGTTGGTGCAGCCCGCCTTCTAGGTTGAGTCCAAGGGATGAGGACTGCTGTTAATTTGAGATGGTGAGAGATGTGGCTCATAATGGAAGTCAGAATTAGCACGAATGCTTTACGGTCTGTCCGCTGAAATCCCTTGCCCCACAAAAAACAATTAACTAAAACACAAAGAGTATCAGAAGTGTATGGTGAAAAGCATTGTTACTCTTGTTTTTCACCACAACTGTTTTGTCCCGTTTTTCTTGTACTTCGTACCCCGAGTCCCGTGTTCTGTTATTCTTGTTGTTGCGTTGTCACCGAGCGTGATTGCTAGCCGGTTTTATATATATATATATATATATATTCTAACTTGTGAATAAAACTTTCAGACGCAGTGGAACTGTGTGAGGAAGTGGGAAAACTACTCCAACCGCTGTGGTGCTGTGTGCAAACAATTGTTCTTTCTTCATCAGTGATTGCGCAATAATACTTTCCTAAAGAGAATTAAATGCAACCCCCCAGTATCATCGAGTCAGACGCGAATGATTGCCAACTCTCATTGGAAGAGAATGTACCGTGAACTTATCAACGACGCTCACCGCAGAAAACAAGTCTACGAAAACAAATGCAATCATTTCAAAACCGAAGCATCAGGATTACTCAATTGTGATTGGATGAAACGAGTGGAGAAAGTTATCCAAACAACGTCAAATACTCACCGATCCAAAGCCAGGGAAAGACTCAATAGGAAATTTCTGTCACTGAATCCGAGAAAACATGAAGAAGCCAAATTAATCTACAAT